AATGAAGGCCCACTGTGGATTTCTTTTTGAATTTTTTTTGAAACCCTTACTGGAAAACCCTAATAAGGCAGCGTTCAGACTTCGCGACGGCAGCGCTTCGGTCGCGCGTTCGGCGCGATCGATGCGCATGCTTTCTACTGTATTGATCGCCGAAGGCGCGATCGAAGCGCTGAAGTCTGAACTCTACCTGTGGGTGCTAGCGTGTCCGCATTACGACGAAAAGGTCCAAAAAGAAATTATGAGCGGGACGACAGGCGTCAACGTCGACAGGGGCACCCACGGTACGGATCTGATAAAGGGAGACAGTTTGCATCCCCTAAACCCTCCATTTTGAAGCTTTGAGCAGCAAGATCAGCGTAACCTTCGCACTTCAGGGGCGATCTACCTTGCCAATAGATGGCGGGTTCCATACATCCAACAGTGGGATGGTCTCAACTCGGGAAGCGCTATAATTGACTTTGCAGAATAACTCGTGATGATTATTGAATACTTACGAGTCATCTTCCGCAAACACCACTGGTAATTCCAACGGCTTCACTTCCGCATCCTTCGGCAAATTCTAAAAGAATAAACTTCAGAGAAACAACATATGTGTAGCAAAACGCTTTTGAATAACAAATAACGCAATCAGCGGCTCAAAGTGGAACGTCATTTTCATTGTGCCGTTTCATTCTATTAATACTGTTGCTTAACCTGGCAGAAGCTTCGTATCTAGATGAATATCTCGGAAGATTGACATTTACGACTATTTATTTGAAACGAAATAACAAGAAACCTCGGCATGCAGAAGCCATTCTCTTATGCGGCCACGAAATAGGCGAACGGCAACGACTGCGAGCACGTTCGTTTTCTTCGTTTTCTACAGCCATTAGCAACGCTCCTTGACAGAACGCTATGGCCTCTGGTACATAGCTAAACGCATTAACATTATAAAAACAAGCGAAGCAAACGAGCAGACAGGTAGGCACTGAGAATAGGTCACGCCTTTTCTATGCGTCTGCGTCCTCACACTAAGGTAGTGTTTGTCCAATAATCCTCCTCCAGAACCGCTTTAACCTTAGACAGCGCAGACGAACAGAAAAGGGTGTGGACTGGTCCTTCTCAGTGCCCCTCCACCCTTTTCTGTTCGTCTGCGCTGTCTAAGGTTAAAGCGGTTTTGGAGGAGAATTATTGGTCTGCGCGATCGCAAAAAAGGAACTATACAAAACACTTACCGCCTGCTTTCCTCCACATAGTCGCTCACTACTGTTGCAAGAAGTATCTGACGTGTGAGGACAGTCATATTCAATATTTGACATTTCGCAAGGGTTATGGCCGCTAGAGCCATGGCTGGAGAGCAGACTGGGTGCCATCTGTCGCTAACAGGAAAGAGGGATGCAATCAATCTGAAAGTTATCAAGAAGCATATAAAACGAGCAAGAGGCAGTAGTGCATTTTAGAAGGGGATCGGGCGCCGTTCGGCTTGGGAGAGGCATTTCGCAAGCTCCTTTGTGACTGACAGGTCTCATTTTGGCAAAATCCGTAAGCCTGAACGAACAGCGGAACGTACAGCTTCTCTGGTTACAGGAAATCACAGGCCTTTACAAGGTCGCCGTAGGTCGCCTTCCTTTCGCTGAGTAATATATGGGGACCCACCAAGCCGAACTGCGCTGGTGATCGCACCACATAATTATCAAGAATTTGAACACACGCCTAACATTGACAGCATCGACATTGGTACGTGTAAAACTGAGGAGCTTCGCCGAGTGCGGTCGCACCGCGGCGTGCATCACGGGTAAGGACGTTTACAAGTAGGAACAGTCTTGCGTTTTATATCAGTCCTACTGCACTCATTGAAACGTTGGAGCTTTAGATATGTGTTCCGAAAACATCTCGCTTGCATTGTTTCAAGAATTCAGCACAAACCTCAACAAAGTGATTAGAGAAAACTGGGTAGAAGATTTCGGCTTGCTCATACGCTTCTTCCAATTCTGACGTATTAGAGCCCGGACACATCTGGCGCTGAACTCTACATCAGTCTGTAAAAGAGGACACTTTTATTAAAGTTTTACCCACCGATAGCTTGTCTCAACATCACCTTCATAACTGAGTACATTCCTGGTCAATTGACCCTAGCACTTTCATGTTATCAGCGGAGAGTGTCCGTTTCGACATCATCTCATAATCATCGCGCAGCAGGTAGAGAAATAACTTTGAAAGGAGTTTCTTATTACCTTCTGCAAGACTCGGATGGTAGCATTTTATTAGCCTGAAAAAAAAGATATTTCGCATTATCGGTATCTAAGACAAATCTTTCTCGCAAAAATTGACTTAAAAGACACATTTCGCGACAATACCGTCAGGATAAACTAGGACAACAACGTTAAAATCCAAAATGGGACGCGCGAAGGGCGATGGCATGAAAAAACGGAAATTCTGACCTAAGGCTGTCTCGCGTTCTAAAGGTCCTTAATAAGGTCCTACTCCGTGACTGATTCTGAACATAAAGAAACGTAACACAGTACAAACCTGTCAGGCCTCTTACGAATTTGAGTGCGGCGTCCCGGCCTAGGCCATAAAGTGATAAACGCTTGTCGTAATTTTCGGATATGCAAAAACCGATGGGGCATTCTCCAACCTTGTTCAACACATCAACTTTCATCACGGAAGTACAACACGTCACATTAGTCTGTAGAACGACCTCTTGCAAGCCAAACTACACCTTACTTGTGCGGACCACGTCCCCTCATGTGGTGAGGTGTGGTCTGTAAGCTAACAGCAGTGTAGCCTTTTTTCGCTTATGAAGTGCACCGCGAACGATACTGTAAACGCAGTGTGCCCCCGGTGCTATTTTCATACATCGCCGACGCTGCTGCACGGTCACCCCTAGCCAAACCTCTTACTTTGCGCCCCCTCACTTCTAGTTGTTCTCTTCCATTGAGGATGATGCTGCTGCGAGTTCTTATCGTTCGCCAACATCTGCGATTGAGGGATAGCGCGGACGTACATGGGAGTATGGCGCAGTTCAACGGGAGGAGCGATTTTCCGCTTTACACAGTTTCACTGTGGTGAAACATGTTAAGTCTGTGAAGCTGAGCAAAGTCGCCAGCTAGCTGAAACGTAGTCAACTCAAGAAGATTACCATATCGGAATCGACACATTCGATGGGAAGCCAAAAAATCCCCCCCCCCGTACGCTGAACTGCGCCGGGACTGTGTATTAACACCCACCAGCCCCCTTTCTGAGCAGAGAAACGCCTAATACATCTGCAGACCCACACACCTTGCACATGGAAAAATCGTCCTCGCGAAGGTGAGTGTACATTTGTCTTTGGGAGACGTTGCGGATGCCACCTGTCACTTGCAGATTGCAAAAACTATCTAGGCATAGCAGGATGGCACCTTGTAACAAACAAAACAAAACAACTATCGCAAATATTGTCACAAAGAGGAAGTGATGTAGTGGGAACAAACCGTTGTAAAACAACATCAATCTTGCCAGCAGGATACTTCTTCAGTAGTTCTACGAGTGCCTCATACTTCCTTGGCATTTCGAAAAACAAACGGCAGCGTCGAGATCCGGCGTCAGCTGCAAGCAGTCAGAGCACAATATACCAAAAGATCACAGTGAACAAGGGCACACCTGGCCGCTTGCAAAATTTTGCAAACACGACCCCGCTCATAGAGTTCGCATGTATACGACCGCCACTTCCATAATCCCTATCCTGCCTTACCATCTTAGATTGTTTCCAACTTCCTATAATTTGGAAAAAGCAATCCAGTTCTCTTCAAATAAAAAAAACGTCGTCCTGAAGTGTGGGGAGGGGGGGGAGGGTGATGGGTAACAGAGCATGCGAACCAAGAAAAAACCTAAAATAGTCAAGAACTGGAAACATTGCCCTTAAAGGCAAATACGATTCCCACTCTCCAGCGACCGAACACGACTCTCCTCACCGAGGATTTTTAATTTAACACGTGCCCTGATGATGGTCTCAGTATACCACTAACCTAGTTTTACTTGTTGTCCACGCTTTTTCGTCTTTTTGTCAGCAACTTCCTCTCCTCGCTATCCATAGCATCCTTCTTCTGCATCGTCGCCTGATGAATCGCCATCTTCTTCCTCTTCTTCGTCAACATCCTCATTTTGCTCGTCGTCAACTTCGTCATCCTCACTGTCATTGTCTTCGAGCGTTTTTGCTCGTGCCGCTCTTCGCCTGTTCGTCATCTACAAGTAAAGAGCAAGTCTGCACGGCATGGAAACCGGATTGTTTTCAGGTATTTGGACCTAACAGTAATGTAGTCGCAATCAAACTGGGCGTAGTGTAAGCTCAGGGCACATCATTGATTGGAGATTCTGGTCGAGTCCGTACGACCCCCCCCCTTCTTTTTAAGGGTTGGTACGACCCCCTCCGCGACCCTTTGTCCCGCCCCCTCAATGACGCTACTTGAGCGCGAGGGGTAGGGGTAGTATAGTAGCACATTAAACAGGAAAACTCGACGAAAATCAAACCACTTCGCCAGAAAGTAAGCAGTGTGAATACAACCCTACTCTTCTTACTCCGAACAAAACAAAGCTACGACCCCTTCCCCAACGCCCGATGAAGATAAGAATAACACAACTATAAAAATAAATTTTTCTCAGCCCAAATACGACCCCCTCTCTCGGCGACCAAATACAACAACTTTTGGGAACTCCTCAACAACGATGTGCCCTGGGAGGCATGGAAGAGCCCATCCGCAGCGGTTTCTACGGCTTGTTGTTTCCTAGCTGAAGACGGCTACTATTGGCAGAAAAGGCGGAAGTAGATGAGCTATTCCACGCCTCTTAAGAGCACCCCACTGGATTGCAACGATATCAACTGTAGACTTACCCTAAAGTATTGGACCTAGAAATGCAACTAGAAATAGATGAACGAAAACTATTAGCACTGAAGAAGGAAACTTGTACTCTCTTCTTGAGGACTTTCCCCTAGCCTTCCTCTTAGGCGAGAGAAAAATGGATTTGGGAACAGCTCCCAGTGTGACGTTTTCCGTCACCTGAAAGCGCTGGAAATGAAGCTAAGGAGTTAGCACGCGGAGACGGCAAAATGCTGTAGCGAGGACACAGCCAAAGGTTAAGAACGACCATACGCGACAAGCGGCGGTTGACTAATCATGCTGGCACACTAGTAGCTGCGCCGAACGGAAACCTTAGGCCGCTCTTCGGCTAACATCACCCTCCATACCAATTTCTGTAGCACTTTGAGCACGCTACTTCAACTGCCCTCCTCGCACCTCGTTAACCTCACAAATGGCAGGGACAAGAATCCACGGAAGTGAGAGTACAATTTGCCTTCTGGCAATCAAATGATATCCGTACCGACACCGTCGTGCTCATCAAGCAAGTCATCAAGCTCTTCTTCGTTTTCATCCTCTTGTTCTTCGTCTGTTAGCTCCTCGTCGGAGTCAATAGCTATCTTCTTCTTAGAAACAGGCTCTATCTGAAACATTGTACGTATGGAAAGTGAATGATGACCGGAGACACTTTCCCTATAATTCTCACCTTATCTGAGTTCATTAGCTTCCCATCAGAACCAAACCGCACTTCAAATCCAACTTTCTTTGACTTTTTCTTCTGTTTTTCATCGACCAGCTCTGCATCCACAGAATGATGCCCTTTCTTGTTAGTCTGAACGAAGCCCGTAAAGCTAATTAAGATAGAAAGGCAAACTGTAGAAATGTTACAACAGTCAAAAAACAGCATTTCGGCAGACGCGTGAGCAAAACAATCAGATGGCTTCCATACTCTCACATAACCGCTCTGATCGCGAAGGATGAACGCGCTTTTACCGAATAAAATTTCAACTAACAAGAGATTTTCAAGTCTGCAACGAAATGACGCTATGCGAAATCACCTCTGCATTCATCCTAGCTCTTCTTAGAGATTCCATCTCTTCCAAGTAATGTCGCTCTTCCACAGCCAACTCTTCAGCTGTTTTTGTGCGTTCTGCAGGTGTAGCCCTTGCGTCAGCATCTATTTTAAGACTAATCGCCTGAAAAAAGATATTGGAATTACAACAAAATGATCGTTGTATAAAAAAGGAAAGAAAGAAAAAACCGAAATATCAATGCTATCGATTGAAAAATACCCAGCTTCTCTAAGAGAAGGGAATAAATGCTCCTCGGTATGTTGTGCGGGAAGAAAAGCAGATCAATAGTGATTTTAAAAAAAAGAGAAAATGTACAAAACAAGGTTGGCTATACAGTCTTGTTCGCTGCGGAATGGAGTAGCTCAAAAGGGAGGGGGTGGGTTTGGCGCGGAGCCATCCCCTTTTCTTTTTTTTGGCAAGTTACAAGATCGCATCATATCGTTCGTATTAGTCGTTTTCACCGACTGTTGTTGGTTCCGCTCCAGTAACTGGTGGAGAATGGTCTGGCGGTGCGCCAAATCCATTCAATTCGTTGCGGATGCGGGGCAGCCTTACTGACCTGCCCCGTCACCGCAACGAACAGGACTGTGCAAATGATATAAACTGGCCCCCTCACAAGCGATACAGTAATATAATACAAACGAAAATTGGAAAAATAGGTGCTCCCATAAAAAAACGAGGAAAAGCCGTTTCCAAAAAGGCTCTTTTTTGAAACGAACCAGTTTATCGTAGTCATCTTTTTCGCTCTTTTCAGCTTTTGTTGCTCCAACAGGCCTGAACACATTTTTCACTTTGTCCAAGAGCTTGAGATACTTCGCATCCAGGTCTTCAGTTACAGTTTCCTAAACGAATACTGCATTCGAACAAGGGAACAGGACCAGCACACATGACAGCGTAACTCACCAGTTCATCTTTTGCAATGTGTTTTTCCTCCCGAGCTTGTCTAGTCTTCGCTATTAAATCGGCTATCACATCTTTGCGACTAAGCTTTTCCTCAGCTTTCGTGGAAGTATCAGATCACCACTCACCCAAAGTGAGCGACTTTCACCTGTAAGAAGAAACGGATGGTAAAAAAAGCTGGAAGTGAATTTAATTAAGAGAGTTTAATGAACGGAGTGGCATTGCGCAATTCAGAATGTACTATCCAGCTCTCCTCTTACGAAAAGTCTTGGTGGCTTCCGAATGAAGATTAGCTTGACAAGAGCTTACCCTATAGGTCACGTATCTACCTCCCAGACAAGTCTAGTACCAAATAACCGGCCGCGCGGTGGATGGTTTGCTTGTTCGACTTTTGAGTTGATACCTGGGTTATACGTACGACGATGCTACTGGCCACAACTACTCTCCCGTTAGTACAGTTTTGTTCCCTGCAGATGAAGGGGCGTGTCAGTAAGGTTTCGTCTGGTGCGCCGTCAGCCGATTCTAAACCAGTTGTTGAAGTGAGTGAGCGACAACAATCGGTGGAAAACGACTGATACGAACGATACGATACATCGCTGTCGCTTGCTCGCTTCAAAAACTGGTGGAAAACGGGTTTGCGCTAACTCATTCCGTCAGACACGCCCCTTCATCCGCAGCGAGCAAGTCCCTCACGGTAACCCGGAAAAATTGGACAGAGTTAAATAGACAGTCGAACATGCCTCAATAGATCAGGTAGAGTGCCACTTCCTCAGTATTTCCGCATGGTCACTACCTTGAATTTCCACTTATATTTTCCCGTTAATGCTAAGTTTCCTCTAGGTAAGCACTCTAAAAAGTAACCGAAACCAACCACGTCAGCACCAATGTTACCATCGTCGTCATCATCATCGGAAGCTATAGTCTTGTCGTATTTTTGAATGTCTGTTAGAGCTCTGCCACCATGAGTCAGCAACTCTGAAAAAACAAGAAGAAATACTAGTTTAAATTGTGCTCCTTCTGAAAAAAAACCATATATGGCGCCGAATAGGCCTTTCAATGGTGTAGGAAGTGAACAGCCTAGTTGCTTCAAATCATAGGGCTATGTTTAGGTGAATAGGTGGGAAAACCAGCTAGAAAAGTGGGGAAACACAAAAGGAGGACTATGGTTTGAGGCTTAGCTTCCAAGGGCACGACGGTGGAAGCTGAGCTATCTCTTTGCTTTGGTCTTCCCTCAATACTTCTCATTTTTTGGATTTCCTAACTTACGAAATAGCGCTCGTCAAATGCTGCAAAAACAAAAAGGTAAAATTTGACAAACCCTCATTCTCTTCGTTGTCATCAGTTAGGTTGAACTTGCTGCCTTTCTTCAGATGCTTCGCACGTTCAGCCGCGAATCTATGAATCCCATGTTGAGTTGAAAATCCTTTCCAGTGAAATTCCTCTTGACTCACCTCAGTGAAGCCTTTTCTTCAGTAGTTATACTCTTATTCTTCTCGCCTATGCGCCGATCGACAATCTACAAAAGCAATGAAATACATAAATTTATTGGAAATGCCGCTGTTCGGCTTGGAGAAGACATTTTGCACTTTTGGGTTGGTTTGGCAACTAACAGGTCGGTCGGACCTGTAAACTCCTGATAAGCTGCGGAATTGCCCGAGTGATCCACTGTGGTCAAACTTACAGGTCTTACCAATGTGGCCTACAGCTGTGTACCATTTGGTACCACCCCCACCAAGGCGAACTGCGCCGTGGAAATTACTACTGGGACCGAAAACTCTGAAGAGTTGGAAGAGTTCAATATGTCAACG